TACAGGGTGCCTCAAGATACATCGTTGGAGAAAAAACCGGTAACAAGGGTCTAATGTTTAAACGTGCAATCCAACATGCCAGAAGGTCATGCCAGAAGGTCATCATCAGAAGAAGTTGGCCAAGATGAATATAAAGAAAAATTCTACAGGGTGCCTCAAAACATATCGTTTGAGGAGAACGGTGACGAGAGCCTAACTTTTCAATGTGAGATCCAACATGTCATGAAGACACTGAGCAGCATCTTCGTCAACCAAGTTGACATCATCAGGAGAAATGGACCTAGAAGATTTTAATTTTGCTTACATTTCGCCTTTTCGATCGGTGATCTACATAAAAACTCTCAGTATCAACCGAAATGTCTTCGAAAAAGTATAAGCGCAAATTGGAAGAATGCAAAAAATGAAATATGGGCCGCCAAAACTTCCTCGTTTCTTGAAAGCCCCTGCTATGTGATTGTATGTTTTCAAAAAGATCGTCATTACACTAAAGTCAACAATGATCCACCAATATTTGGCCATTTGAAAATCACCAATATAACGTTGACTCTAAACTAATTTGATGAAACACTTTGTGCAACTGGAAACTTTGAAAAAGATGTGAATGCATGTCATGCATTATTTCATCGATAAACACATCGATCGGAAGAAGATACTGATGAATTTCATAACTACTGCTGAAACGTTCACAGCTGAATATAATGAACTCTATTATTATTATTATGAATATTATAAAAAATTGTTGCTGCACAACTATTTGTATTTTCAATAAAAAAATTCTATTGAAACACACCCTGTATATACTTTTTTTTCTCCATCTTCACAATAATTTTCCTGATTTTGATGTGTTGCACGTTGAATCGCATGTTGAAACGTTAGACCCTGCTAGTCATCACCGTTGACATCATTTTTCCCACGCTTAATTTAAAAAAACCGGCAACGCCTCATGAGCCACATCGCCTTTATAAACAACGCTTCATTTCACAACCGACAACACCGAAGTGTTTGCGCAAACGACATTTGTTATCTTTCAAACGGATCAGTTTGATGCAATCTCCGTCTCTCTCACACTCATATGACAAACCGACCCCTCTCACTTCTGCACACACGCTCTCATGAAAACCCATCCTCCCGCTCTGGTACACACACTCTTATGCAAAAACAAAATTGGGGTTATGTGCAAAAATTGAGGCAGCTTCCGCCTTGTATTTCTACTGGCCGTTTTTTTGCAATTATGTTCTCCAAACGCTCCAAAAACGCTGTGAGGCGTCTAATGCTTTCATCCACATTGTGCTCATTTCACCTCGTTTATACTTAGCAAAGCACTTCTTAACGGTTAATTTTCCAAATTGTTGAAGGTTTGGCTTCAACAGTATTTTTGTCTTCGCCAAAAACAATGCTAAATCAACACACGAAATTAATTTTTATCCGTTTTTTAAATCTAACAAAAGTTGCTCCACCAAAAATGTTCTATCCCACGAACCACTAGTCCGGCAGCTGTGAAATTCATACACTTATCGTTTGAAGGTTAGGGTTAACTAAAAGTCGAACGGATTCAATACTTTGTGTTAGCCTACAAACTTTCAGCCCACCTGATAATTACGTCATGTTCCTTCAAATTCTATCTGTACTGAAGTTTTTCAACGAGTTTGTTTTCGTTACACATAGCAGAACTATTAAACGATATTTTGGTCCAAGTGATTTTTCTGTAGGAATATTTTACACTGTCATCGCATATTAGAGATAACAACTGAGAATAGGTACATTGTTTTCATCAAAAATCTATCTTCGTGCTGAAATGTCTAAACTTATTGCTACTTATATACTTATTATCACTTCTTAGTTCTTCAGTTTTCCGAACGACTTCAATCGATTTCGTAATAATAACATGGAGATATATATAGTGTTAATTTTGCAGTGATGAATTAGAGGTCCATCTTTGAATTCAGATGCAGTGACATGTCATTTAGAGAAACAAGGAGTAAGAAACTTGGTCAAAAAATAGAACAATCAATATTACCAATTCTTATAAACATTCATATACAAGGAAGGTCACAAAATTCAACAGAACATACCAAGACTATTCACAATTCAATCCTCCATACTTCCGTTCTTCAAAATTTCAAATTCGATCTTTTGAAATTGTTTTTATCATAAATGCATACTGTTTCTGTGCTTTCTTGACGTGTCTGTGTCTTTCTTGAATCTGTTTCAGACTTACAGGATGTTCAACAATGAAATATGAAAAGTTGTAGCTGGTGGATTTTCATGGGACTGAATCATCTGAAGAAGCAAAGGACTGACACCTATCAGAAAAAAACTACTCCCTTGACTGATTCCACAAAGGGCGTTGGGTTGTATCTGACAGGTGTCAGTGCAGGATTCTTCACTGAAGTTATTCCTGCATATGCTGTTGGCGATAGAACTGACGGAAGCGAGCTTACGACTCCAACTGACCTCCCTGAAAATTAAGATCAGAAGCGAGAGCTTCTTAACTCTTCAACTCCTCCGCAAACGTTTGCGCTCAAATGATGATTCACCAAAACCAGAGGCGAAATAGCCCTGTACGGTTGAATCTAAGGCATCGTCAGTTGTAGCTGACGTGCAAAAACCCTCATATGGGAAGGTTGTGGCGGGTATCAAGGTGGGAATCTTGCACCTTGACTATCCGACTACCTCATTAACGATGAAACAGCAGAGCTGTTTGATGAGACAGAGCCTTTGAACCTAACCTATCCTAATCATTCTTCGGACTAGGCTGAAGCGGGCAACAAACAACAGGTTTGTCATCGCCCCGTCTGCCTGTCAACGAGTTAACCAACCGCATATCCGAAATTTGCCTAATTTCTCGTATAGGAAAAGAAAACTTCTAACATATAGTCAGTGGGCATACTTGAAAACTGGCTATAAATAAAATCATCTAAAAGAACAATTCGTTCAGGTTAGTCTCAACTCCCTACACTGTAGGTTAATGGACTCACACCTACCAGAAAACAACGCCCTTTGTGGCATTAGCCAGGGGAGTAGTTGTAGAGCATTCTTGACCATGTAAATTCTCTGAGATAAAATGTTAAATTTCAGTCTTTAACAATCGTAATAACACTGGTTTTTTTCTTTAATTCCTCAGCTCGAATAAAAAGACTGTATACTTCATTTTTGTTGATACTTAACATTCCAGTTTTCAAAAGTGAAAAAGAAAGATCACTACACATGAAACAAAAAAAATTCACTTTTGAAAGAAATAGTTAAATTACTGATTTTATATGCAACCGTATATATTTCGTTCCAAAACAAATTATATCAAATACAACATTTTTTGCAATGAATATTTTCCTATACTCACAGTTGAATGCTTTTTCATTTTATTAGTTTACTGTATATCACATTTTGTCATTCGTTTAGTCTCAGAGGTACTGTGGAAAAATTAGCTGCAGAGTCTAACAGTTTTCCTTTTATTTGATAGTCACGCAGAATTTTTTTCTCAAGATGTCAATAATCGCAGTTACAGTCCGGTCAAATTAGACCAAAAAATAAGAGTAGAGCTACCAAAATCCCCACCAAGCTGAAAATCAGTACAATTGTTATAAATATGATTGAAAATAAAATTTGAAAGTTTCCCATCTTTCCCCTGTATGGAAAAAATGTTATTCATGGTCAAAGGTCAAAAAAATTAGTTTATCGCGATTTTTAGCAAGAAAGTAAGTTTCACCATAAAAATACTTCAGACAAAAATTGTAGATCATGAAATTATCTACAAAAAATGTATCAATACTTTTTTCCTACGAGCCACCGTTTTTGCAAAGTGTCAAAATCATGTACTATTTTTACACGCATTGACTGGCAGTGATACAGGAGGGATAAAATAACAGTTTTCAAAATATTTGAAAAATAAAATTCAGTTCAATATGCTGAAGTTTGAAAAAATAGTAATTCAACTCGACAAGAAATTATCACTAACGGCATTCGCTTTCTTCTTTCTATGTACGGAGCTCCTAAAAAGACTACCTCCATAGATAAGTATGAATATGCATGTTTCGTTGAAAATTCCAAAAGTTAAAAACAATTTCAATTACCTTGTCTTTCTCCAACCTCAGTTGTTGGTCAACAATTCATTAGAACCAGTCTAAAATTTACTTCCACCTGTTGAACAAAATTTTTTGCAACTGCAAAAAGGGGTGCAGTGCTAAATGTGGTTGCAAAAAAGCCGGACTGTTCTCTGGCATTTACACATTGTCACAGCCGGTCGTGCTGTAATATTGAATCACCAACAGTGGAGGATCCGTTTGATTCCAACGAGCTGACATGCGATACATCGCTATTAACGCAGTTTACATGTACTCAGGATGAAGCGGAAGAAAAACAAGAACAATACGAACAAGAACAAGAAGATCAAGAAGAATTTGAAAGTTATGACTCGGACGTTTAAATTTCACTACTATTTTTGACTTAAATTGATTTTATTTTTTCTATCTCTGCTAATATCCATTATTTTGCAATAGTTTCAAATTGAACAGGAGCACAACTGACCCGTGGAATAGGCCTGCTGGGGAAACCACGTTAAAATAAAACGCGCTGAGTACACTTCCTCATAGGTGGCGTGGAAACGCATATTATGACGATTACAACTTTTTGAATCGTTATATCTCAAAAACGGTGGCTCTTAAGGAAAAAAGTATTGATACATTTTTCGTAGATAATTTTATGATCTATAATTTTTTCTAGAGTATATTTGTGATAAAACTTACCGTTTTGGTGAAAATCGCCAAAAACGCATTTTTTTGACCTTTGATCTTGAATAAATTTTTTCCACACAAGGGAAAGAGAACGTTTTAATTTCATTTTTAACCATATTTCAAACAATCTAACTGATTTTCAGCTTGACGGGAATTCAGGTAGCTTCGAATATCTAAATTGACCGGACTATCAACTAACACTATACAAACAACAATGTAAACATTTCATTGTTCTCATGACAGTTACTGAACAGAAGTAAGAAGGAATGATTGTGAACCGAACAAAAAATGCAATAAAAGGCTATTTCACAGTCGTTATTCCTCTGCTCGTACTTAACACTCACTCTCGTGGGTTTTTATTACTTTACGGTTAGTTTGTTGGTTTCAATGTCGTATAACAGTGCCCTGAACTTTGTGCCAGGTTCACTTGAGTCGCTTGCGAGGCTGGAGTGTTCTCAAATTTTGGTCTGCCCATCAAAAATGCTGGATTTGATTCGAGTCCAACCCCGTTTGGATTTAGGGATGACGTCACCCCTATCAATCCTAAAACAAATTCACAATTCAATACTTTATGAAAATTGAAGGTACACTAGGAAAATCTCATATACCAATACCAACCAATACCAACATATACCAATACAACATATACCAATACCAACTATCTAATTATGTTACTATTCTAGGGGAAATAGATCTAGGATACAGTGGAAACAATGAAAAGATGAGTAAATGTGATCACATCTATATTTCGTCACGTGGAGGATCAACGACGAAGCTTCCTGAGGTGGTCAGTGGCAAAGCAACCAGTTCAATCTCGCAGACAGCGTTGTTTCGACCCGGCATTGGTCTTAACAGTGGTTCTAGGCTGAACCACAAATGTATTGTCCTTGGAGAACATTCTAGAGTAATGAATTTTTCAAAGACATCGAAGGGATGACCATGCATTCTGGTTTAGTCTAGCAACACTGATGGGACCTATGTTGGGTTGAAACACTCCTAAATGCTTTGTTTTCGGGCTCTAGCTCAGATGGAAAATTACTGCTACAAAGAATGGATTCAAGAAACATACACCAGAGCTACAACATTCTTATCGACGCATTTTATCAACCAAATTGGACGTTATAAGGGGATGAAGTGGATTGTTTGGATAAAACGAGCATCAAGAAGATTGTTGAAGTTTAAATGTATATTATGAGTGTTTTTGTTGGACTGGGACCTAACAAACCCTTGTTGTTCACACTTTATCGTACCTGTTGTGGTGCTTATTGTCCATCTGAACAAAACATGCTGTGTTCACATTCAAAGGAAAACAAAACGATTATTCAAATATCGGATGGCTAGTATAACCTGGACAAACCACTTCGAATATACTATATTACTATTATTATTATTTTCATTTCAAGCCTAAGGTTTCGATTGTCGAGCCCCTACATTATCAACCAATGATCACCACACTGTGTGGTCCGTGATCATTGGGTCAATGAGCAAGCGCGGTGAGCCAAGAATGATAACCTTCTGCATTTGTCCAGCTAAGTTTTCTGCGGTAAGCCATCATTCCACCAAGGACTCCAATGATCAAAACAACTATATTTATACGGTGGTCTGGATAGACCACCAGGTATGGAGTCGAAGAGAAAGCCTCGATATTTCATGTGTTTCTCCTCCTCTTTCGCCAGCAGCTACAAACTCAACCAAAAATATCGCCTTGCCCTGGTGATCGAGAAGAATAACATCAAGCTTATCAGCTTGTATGAGTCATGCTGACAGTAAGTTCATTGCGCTAGGCCCTGCGCCTTGTGTCAGGAACCTCTATATCCATCATGTGACTGTGATAGACTGGGGTGTTGGAGACACCAACCTGGCAGGACCAGTTTCCACCAGTTTCCAACTTCAGCCCACTCAACCTGAGGAAAGCGAAGGTCAGACGTTTTGATAAGCCAGTGTCTTCAATGTTTTTGGAAGAGACCAGATGCATTGGCATATCTTTGTGTTGCCGCAGAAGTGAAGTGATTTCTGCGACTTTTAAGTACAACCGTGAAGTACAACCGATGCAAACTCCTATGGAGTTGCACATCCTTTACGTAAACCTTGAACCGTCCTCTTTTGAAATGGACCGTTATACATTTATCTATCCCGAACTTCATACTAATAGCAGGAGTGTACTCTTCCACCACCCTCAAGAACTGATGTAGATCCTTCTCTCCAGAGGCATAAAGTTTAAGATCATCCATATAAAACAGATGGGTGGCCTTGTGCCTCCGTTTTCCGGGGGTGCCACAGTTATACCCTCTAGTATTTCTGAGCACAACGGATAATAGCAGTAGTGAGATACAGAAGAGAAGGGGACTGAGGGAATAGCTCTGAAATACAACCCTTCTGAAAGTGGCTAACTCTGTTTGAACTCTAGCCAGTTGTTCAATGCATCTCACTATTTTGTCGGGTGCCGCAAAATATCAGAGCAGATGCGATATTAAATCAAATGCCTTTCGGTAATCGATCCAGGCTTAGAGATAGAGAGCGATAGAGAGGTTGCGCTTATATTGCATAGAGTCCTGTGTTACACATCTATCGATGAGCAGATTTTCTTCACATCCAGCAACTCCTCTCTCTGACCCTCTCCTCATACTCGTTCAACTGCGGTGGGTATAAGATGCTCATAAACAACTCATAACACTAGTTTAAGCATATTATCGGACTGTAATCCTTAGAAATCGACAAAACTCCGCTTTTAGGGATGAGAATGGTCTGCCCCTTGGCAAAACAATCCGGAATCGGCTGTTCTCCGTCCAGCCATGAGTTGAAAGCTCTGGCCCGATGGTTTTGGGTGCTTGGCAAATTTTTTCATCGATAAGTGTTCAGCCCATTTGGACCTGGAGCAGCAATGTTCTTAGAACCCACAAGGGTTCTTCGAACGTCATCCGGGGTTATCAGGTTGCGCAGTTCATTGACATCAGGTGTCAATACCTTGATTTGTGACTCTGATAATTTCAAGTTGTTCTTTGAATTTTTTCTAAGAGACATTTCAGCTGAAGCCTATTCAGTGTATCATGTATCCCTTTGCCTCCAAGAATATCGAAAATCCCAAATGGGTGTAGCAGAAACACAAAATAAGTTACTCAGAACAAAGAGACACTGCGACGAGGTCGTCATAAATATGGGTTGAATGAGATGGAGTTGAATGCATATGGATTCTGGTCCAGATGAACTGCTTTAGATTTCCACATTACCACCAGTGGAAGAAAATTAAATCTGTGCAGTCCCCAACTTATGAAGTTCAAGACAGGTTACTTTCGGTCTAGTAAAAATTTCATAACTTTGTTGATACCTTATTCAGTTTTCTGATATTGATATTTGATAATTGTTATTATTACTTCACTCAATATCTGACGTTCATACTATTGTTGCTTGGCTTGATAAAGTAATAGCATTACTGATTTGTGTGTCGGATACTATTATAAGAGACGTATACAGTGTACTCCCGTGAGTTGTGACATCAGTAGATTATGCTGAGATCACACACGAGTTGTTCAGAATTGTGACGAAGGGTAGAAAAATAATTTCCAGGTAGACCAAAAAATTTAATTCTTTTGCATTCAACTGCTAACAGAAGTCATTAACATGTCTTATGGGGAGAAATAGTTTAGCATATTTCAATATGTATATGAAGTTCCAATCTAACACCAACAGGTAACATAACTATTTTCATCATAATTCTATTTGCTAAATTCATATACCTACAGTGTGACCCATTTTTAATGGAAACACCCCCCTAAAATTTGAAGTTGTAAACCGATTTCAATAATTTTTTTTTTAAATGTCAAGTACTGAAAGGTCTATCATGGGACAAAATTTGAAATGTTTATTAAAGTTTCAGGAATTCGTAAGCGCTACGACACATGTATCGAAATACGTGGTGGATTAGTAGAGGCTACTAAGATATGAGTTAGAATTAATTGTTGCACTGAATCGAAACATTTCAATAATTAGTTACGTTTATTAAACTTTTTTGCTTCATTGTTAGTTGAATCGTGTGAATGTAATTCCGTTATTTTCATTGAAAATATTTACGCTATTTGTTTTTTTTTCATCCGGCGGTACTTTATTGTTGAAATCATGAAAAAATATATATTGTGACTGTTAGCTGTGTGAGTTTTCGAATTTTTGAGTTGTCATAACTTTGTTAATAATGAATATTTTTTCATGAAATTTTGGTTACACCTATTTAGAGGCACTCTGAATCCAGTGGCGTAGTGATTTTTTTCAATAAAAAAATCGCTAATAAAAAATCCCGATTTTCGACTAAGAAAAAATATCGTAGTATGCCCTGAAACTTCAATAAACATATCAAATTTTGTCCCAAGGTAGACCTTTTAGTACTTGACATTAAAAAAAAATTATTAAAATCGATTTACAACTTCAAATTTTAGGGGGGTGTTTCCATTAAAAATGGGTCACACTGCATATAATTAACTAATACATCTAGGCACAACATCAACTAATAGAGGTGGAACAGATGTGTGAAAGAAAAGATAAATATGAGGCACACTTATATAGACAAAAGTTGTGAAAGAGGTATCCGATAGTAATTTATTCATATATCACGTTTTCGGTTGTCAACCCTTCATGCCAAGTAAATAGTGACCAAAACAACATTTTTTTTTATCTAGAAACACACATGCATGCTTTTGATTGACAGTATCCTCAAGAATGAAAGATGGTAGGCATGCCGCTAGAAGATTTGTCTAGTGTTTTTAGAAATATATCACATGAATCTCAGATTGTTTTTGATTGAGTTCGTTGATCCTTTTTCATCAGCCTTGAGTTTGCATTTTACATTTTTGATCTATTTCTAAAAACTGTCGACACACACATCAATATATGTTGATTTATTTTTGTTATACCCCTCGTACTATTCAATCGGTTCTGTACTTTTGGTACCGTTCGATCTCAAATTGGACAGTCTTCTTTCCTGACCTGAAAAAATAGTGCATTGGAAATAACAACGTCTCTATTTCAATTTATTAAGTTTGAATTGACCTCAGTTGTTGAGAATATACGGCTGTTGAACCGTCTTTGATATTTATTTATTCATTTATTCACGGCATTCTCTTTTTATACAAAATAATCAACAAACTCACACATATTAATGATAACTATGAGCTAGATGTAAGGAAACAAATAAAATGGCAAGAATAAGCCAATAAATTACAATCTTTCCACAGTCTTTATAATGATTCCAAAAAAGAATTGAAAAGTTCTAAATCCGCATTTTGATTGTTTGCAAGTCTCAAAATTCTACGTATAGACTCAGTCTGCCCTCAGTTGGTATGATGAAAGGGTACTTTGAAGATTTCTGTATTTCTTGTTCTCTTTGGATTCGCATTTGCAGTTCTATTTGCATTTGTGAAATTATAAAACAGCGATAAAAATAATAACAACAATATAAATTAATTGGCGCTCCTAGGCGACTTCATTGACTCCACTGGCGCATTTGCTTTTTCAGCTTCAGGAAAACCCGGAAAAACCTGCAGCACCACATCATCTGAAGAACTTAATGTGCCAATGTCCTCTCTCTCTCATGAAACAAAATGTGGGGGTGTCTCCAGAGGCTGCAATAGATTCAACACATCGCCAGAACACTTCTTGGCACGATTATCGTCAAACTTAAACCAGCTCGTTTCGTCTTCGATCAAGGCGGAATAATGACCAAATTCAACGCCAGAACCACAGTGAAAAATGACTGCATGAATATTATAACAGTGATCTGGTAGATTGANGTTAACCAACCGCATATCCGAAATTTGCCTAATTTCTCGTATAGGAAAAGAAAACTTCTAACATATAGTCAGTGGGCATACTTGAAAACTGGCTATAAATAAAATCATCTAAAAGAACAATTCGTTCAGGTTAGTCTCAACTCCCTACACTGTAGGTTAATGGACTCACACCTACCAGAAAACAACGCCCTTTGTGGCATTAGCCAGGGGAGTAGTTGTAGAGCATTCTTGACCATGTAAATTCTCTGAGATAAAATGTTAAATTTCAGTCTTTAACAATCGTAATAACACTGGTTTTTTTCTTTAATTCCTCAGCTCGAATAAAAAGACTGTATACTTCATTTTTGTTGATACTTAACATTCCAGTTTTCAAAAGTGAAAAAGAAAGATCACTACACATGAAACAAAAAAAATTCACTTTTGAAAGAAATAGTTAAATTACTGATTTTATATGCAACCGTATATATTTCGTTCCAAAACAAATTATATCAAATACAACATTTTTTGCAATGAATATTTTCCTATACTCACAGTTGAATGCTTTTTCATTTTATTAGTTTACTGTATATCACATTTTGTCATTCGTTTAGTCTCAGAGGTACTGTGGAAAAATTAGCTGCAGAGTCTAACAGTTTTCCTTTTATTTGTCTTTATCAGATGTTTTTGTTGAAAGATTACTCTGTTTTGCTCTATATATTGGTAAACAATAAATGTATTATTACTATTATATTATTATTAAGAAGCGAATTAGGCATTCCCATAACAGGAATTTCTTTCATGGGTACTTTTATTTCAATTCCTATTACAATTACAATATTCTTTGGAAGATTATGATTGTAATAAGCTTTGATCGATTGTTTTTTGAATATATTAGTGATTTTCTGGGTGCAGGATTATATTATATCAGTGGTCAATATCACATACAAGCTAGAAGCTTCAGTGATTTTCATTTTTAGGTTTTGTTTTTGTAATTCATTTTTTGTAGAATTTCTAGAAATATTATTATTATCATTATTCATTGCCTTAACAAATAATGATAGCCAGTGATAAGGGTGACAAGACCTATTGGACCTATTGGACCTATTGGATTTTTGGGAAATCATAATAGTCACGCAGAACTTTCTTCTCAAGATGTCAATAATCGCAGTTATAGTCCGGTCAAATTAGATAAAAAAATAAGAGTAAAGCTACCAAAATCCCCACCAAGCTGAAAATCAGTAAAATTGTTTGAAAGCCTAAAACCACATTGCGATGGTGATAATAGATTATTGTTATTGAAATATTCATTAATTTGTAAATAAATAACTCATTGAAAAATTTTACCCATGGTTGGAAGTATACTGATAATTCTGAGATCAGAATAACTAGCTGGATCATTATTCTTGGGAATGGGTTTCCCAATGGCCATTTTCCACAAGTCTGGAAAATATGAACGTTCAAAACAACAATTCATAATATGCGTAATATATTTATCTATAAACGGGCTACAAAGTTTCAACATTCTGATTGGAATATTATCAACCCCTGAAGCTTGACTTTTAATATCATTCAGGATTTTAGGATTTGAAGCGTCTCCACTGTTATTACCGTAACAAGTTACAAGAATATTGTTTGTCAACCAGAGTAATGAGCCTCAAATAAGTTTTTATCATCAGCATTAACTGACACGTCTTCATTGTGACCAATCCCAATACGTAAAGCTTCAATTCTTTGATTGAAGTGATAATGTTAATACTACCCTGTTCAAAACAGAAGGTGAATTTTCATTTTTCTCGAACAATATTTATTCATTCATCAATTTTCATTTCGTCTTCAGTCACCCCTAATAAGGGGTGTGGTTTTTCCTGACTGGCATTAATTTTCCTTCCATCCTCACGATAACAAAATATCGAAAACATCCAGCGAACACGTAACAGACGTTCATCCAAAAAATTGCCTTCAGCCATCTGTTCGTTATAATCAACTTTATGGGCGCTCGCTAGTCATCAACACCCCTTTGGTAATATTTCTCACTTTGCCCAAGATAGGATACGATTTGGATCTCGTGGGTAATATCATCCGACTCTAATGCGTTTTAGATGCGGCTAAGAACGACCAAAAATTGAGTTTTAGCGTTGCTAGGGAACGAAAAAAACAATTTTGCAGCAGAACTTTCCACTTTCATTAGTGTTACAGCCGTTACCGCATATTGTTCGGATATTTTCATCGATTTTGTGTTTTTAGGCTGACACGTGAGTGTGTTTCATATAAGAATGGTCTGATGGCTTTCATCTACTGCAGGGCATCGCATTTTAGAGTAGTGAAATATGGCGGATTTTTCACTGTGGTATACAGTGCTAGTCAAAAGTCCCCTCCCCCCCCTCGTATCTTTGGAACGGGTATACTTATAATAATGAAATTTGGAGGGTGGAAATAAACGGATGTAGGCTTCTTAACTGGTCATAACAGGTGACGCCGTAGTCATAAATGACGTCACAAGGCCACTGTGACCAAAAATTTTAAATGGGANCTGGTTCTTAAATCTTTATTAATTAAATGCGAAACTATAATTTTCGTATTTCTTCAATTTATCAATCAAAATCAGCCGAAACCCAAACAAAATTGGTATGACTGAATAGGTATTTTCAATACCTTTCAAACGAGCTGTCACTTGCCATAGGGTCCCATTTAAAATTTTTGGTCACAGTGGCCTTGTGACGTCATTTATGACTATTGCGTCACCTGTTATGACCAGTTAAGAAGCCTACATCCGTTTATTTCCACACCCCAAATTTCATTATTATAAGTATACCCGTTCAAAAGATACGAGGGGGGGAGGGGACTTTTGACTAGCACTGTATACTGGTCGACAGAGAATTTCATACGCAATCGAGAAACATGGAGAATCAAGAGCTATTGCGCTCGATATTTCTAAGGCCTTTGACCGTGTGTGGCATGGGGGTTTGCTGCCCAAACTTCCATGCTATGGCGTGTCGACTCATTTTTGTGTAAAGCTCTCCAGCTTCCTGGAAAAGCAGTCCCTGCAAGTGACCGTCGATGGATATCTCTCGTATACTCTCTTCATCAACCCTGGTGTTCTCCAGGGATCCATATCGCCTCTAACCCTTTTTTATTGTTTAACAACGACTTATTGGAAAAAACCAAGAATTCAGTATATTGCTTTGCTAATGACAGCACACTTATTCCATTTGGATTCCAGGACAACGGTTATGGAGGCACATCTTCACTATTCAATGTCACAAAATCCCAGGCATCGGTTTTCTCTAAGAAGATAAATGTCTCCGAAAGGGAAACTGAAATGCTTTCTGCTTCGACAAGTTTCTTGTGGATTGAAATGTACATCAATATGTCTCGACACAATCATGTCGTTAGAATTGCAAAAACCGCTTCTCAAAAGCTTGAAACACTGTTTCGAACCAGAAAACCTAGCACCTTAGCAACTTTTGATGTACATAAAGCTCAGATTAGATTTCCACATTTTCTGTAAGTATGAAGATAGAGAAGTAGAAAGCCGAAACCTTCCCTTCCCCAAAATGTATTCTCTCCTTAAAATATACACTTCCAAATTAAATGAATATGCTGTTATTTATGACTTATTTTGGGGGGAGTTTAAATTAAAAAAAAAAAAATTTGGTTCACACTCAATGAACCACATTATTTGATAATAATTTCCATTTCAAAATGTTAAAAAACTGCATATTTTTTTGCTGTTGGATCATATACAAAACATGCAAAGTTCCCAGTTTGTCAAACGGAGTGCCTTGAGAAAATAGATTGCTCTTTGATTTCACGTCATCGCGTAGTTCCTGAAAATAATAATAACATAGCTGAAGGAGATGGATAGAAAAAAATATATGAACTGCAGAAATATGAACAAAAACAGGTACTGTATGTGAACAGAAAGTAAACGAAATAAAAGACAACAATAACATGAGAAATGAAAGTGAAATAAGAATACGAAGACATTTTAAACAACTATATATGATGAGCCAGAGTCAACTTCTAGAAGGAACTCCTGAAAGTCTGGAATGAAGTCTGGGAAAAACTTTAAATCATTTTAATATTGATATTATCGGTACCGAAAGCATTTGATTTTATTTTATTGATAGCTTCAAAGATATCCTTATTGGATATTTCCATAAACGAGAAACTTACATTGATATTGAATCTGTTATTACTATAAAATAATGGGGTTATTAAATAATAAAAGTTATTAATTTCTTCTGGATTACGCAGTTCTCGCGGTAGACTGTTGATTTGTGAAGAACGCTTTGTATTCACGCCCCAATATGACAGATTTTCCCAAATTGCCTTATTTTTTTTTAGGGGACGGTTTGTCCCGGTAGACGAGGACCTCTGGTGGGTTCCACAGGGAGAACTTTCCTGCGCTTCTTGGGAAGTTTCGCACGAGCCTACATGAAACAATCAAATTTATCATTCATTGAATCTACGTGAAGCATATGGAATTTATTCCAAATTAAAACAGAGAAGCATGTGGTTGTTCAGCTCTGAGGAATGCTCCGTTCTATATGGTCTTTCATTAGAAGAGTCCCATCTTAAAATTCGAATGAATCAACGGGGTGTGTCAGATACCACCGAAATTTTTCATTAATTTGAAAGACCTATTGATGCCATTATGTCAGTGGCAACTACAGCCTGACGACTTCGATAATTGCGGAACTAGCCAAAGAGCTGAGATGGAATCAAAGGATGTAATCATCCTGGGCGATCCTGGGAAGCTGGCGCCGTAGAAATATCTGGCGATGACCAGGAAAATCTACGCCTAACAGTAAAATTTCTGAGTGACCACTGTCAACCGAGGAAACGCCTCCATAATATGGGGCGAGTGGAAACACCTCTATGCAGGAGGTATGAACAGGAAGATGAAACTGTCAGGCACGTCCTATGCGAGTGTCTAGAGTTATCGTCAATAAGAGAGTGTGTGTTTGGCGAATCTTGGCCTACATCTGCCGATATAAAGGAGATGTCTCCTAGTCCTGTCCATTTTCCTGGAAAGAACAGGATGGACGATGACCTAGGAGGACAACTCCTCGGGAGGATGTACAATGGGTCACATTTGGCCTAAGTGCTGCGGACCTACAGTCACCCTCCCTACTCTACAGATACAGATGCCATTATGTGTGGAATGTAACATCGTTACATCGCTCGTGCAGAGTATGTAATATGACATGTGCTGTGTGACACGTCACAAGTCACGACATGGAATTTGCAAAGTTGTGGTCTGCGAAAGGCCTAGTTCTTGTGAGCGACGCGACACTCTCGAAGACAGCGGCGATATTTTCAGCAGATCTTGCGTTTTGTCGACGTACTGGTGTTGGTTGATTGTTTACTGAACCAGTGGACTCAAATTCATCCACAGCATTGCGAATAGTTTCCTCGGTAGGACGATTATGGTGACTGCAAATTGGGATAAGCGCGCGGTACGTTGCCCAAACAGAACACTCATTTTGATACAACAATTTTATCATTTGCGCTTGTTGTTGAATGCTAAATCCGTCCGTGGTGATTTGACAGAAAACAGACTGAATGAATGACAAATTATTTGACAGATGTGTCTCCAACAAAAAACCAATTGAAGTTTGAATGTTCCTAGTGGATTCTGGATGAATTGAGGTATCTCTGTATCTGTAGAGTGGGGAGGATGAGTGTAAGCCCACAGCATTTAGGCCACTTGTGACCCATTGTACATCCTCCCGAGGAGTTGTCCTCCTAGGTCATCGTCCATCTTGTCCTTTCCAGGAAGGTGGACAGGTCGCTGGGAGACATCTCCTTCATATCAGCAGGTGTAGGCCAAGACTCGTCGAACACACACTCTCTTATTGACGATTACTCCGGGCACATCTTGCATAGAGGTGTGTCCACTAGCCCCATATTATGGAGGTGTTTCCCTGGTTGACGGTGGCCAGTCAGGAATCCTACTGTTAAGCGTAGATTTTTCCTGGTCATCACCAGACATTTCTTCGGCACCAGCTTCCCAGGGTCGCCCAGGGTGATCCATCTCATATCTTCAGGATTGAGCATGGGTGTAACATTTGGCTAGTTCCGCAATTGTCGAAGTCATCAGGCCGTAGGATGCCACTGGGTCCTAAAATTTTCAGTCCAGCCGCCTCCTTGGCTGAAGAGTCGGCAATGCGGTTACCTTTACTCCTGTCGTGCCCTTTGACCCACCTCAGGATAATGTCATTATCTACCGAGGCTTTGGCTAAATCTTGATGATACTCTAGTACTAGCCCTGAGATTATATGTTGTCTGTTCAAGGCTAATAGGTCTTGTCTGCTGTCAGGGCAGATTGTTATGTTTTTTCCAGAAATTCCTTTTCTGGTTATTTCTTTTGTGGCGATTGAGATACCAGCCAGTTCTGTTTGGACCACGCTGGTATTTTTCCCATTCCCCACTTAATCCTTAGGCTTAGTGATCTGGAGTACACTCCACATCCTGAGCCTTCTTTGGTTTTTGAGCCGTCTGTATAAATCCGTATTGCATTTGTAGCATCTGACTCTGTGTTCTGTTCTATTCGTATTTTGTAGGGTTCATTAAACACAAATCTGGCCATTAATTCAACCTCCTCAATCTACAGGTCCAGAGGGGTCAGACCCGTGATTAATTCCATTACCGCGGTTGGTGTTGTTCTCATGGCTCCTTTGATGTTTTAACAAGCCAGTCGCTGTATTTGATATAATTTTTGGACGGCCGATGCTTGTAGAACTTTCGGTACCTATGCAATGGCTCTGTACGTTAACATAGGTCTAATTATTACAGTGTAGATCCAGGTGACCACACGGGGAGAAAGACCCCATGCGCGTCCCACTGTCCTCCGACATTGCTCCGACATTGTTCGTAGGTTAGAGTTCCATGTTAGCTACCTGTCGATGATAGTACCAAGGTATTTTACCCCTTCAGAAAAGTTTAGTTTGCTTTTAAAGATTTCTGGAGATTTTAAGCCCGATAAACGTTTCCTGGTGGAAAGGACCATCTCAGTCTTCTTGAGAGTGTTCTTTACACCATGTTTCTATTAGTTTGAGTCCATCCTGCGCTCTATCGCATAGTGTCTTCACGAATTTGCCGGTCTGCAAGATAACTATGTCGTCTGCATATGCAATTATGTAGAATCCATTATTGTTGATGTGATTAATCAGGGTATCCAGAACTATGTTCCAGAGAAGGCGTGATAAGACCCCTCCCTGTGGACATCCCCTCATGACCAGTCCTTTCACTGTGATGTCTTCTACATTCATACTTATTGCTCTACTAGAGAGCATCTTGAGTATTGATTCTCCTACCACCAGGGTTACATTCCTGGAGTGTAGTTGTTGGGTAATTGTTGGAAAGGTTGTTTTATCAAACGCTCCCTCGATATCTATGAATATACCCAGGGTGGATTCTTTGTTGTCCAATGATCTCTCGATTCTGTTAACCACATGGTGAAGAGCCGAATCAGTAGACCTTCCCGGAGTATATGTATGCTGATTTGGATGAAATGGGTTGTTAACTAGTACTTCATCTCTTATGTACCGCTCACATAGCCTCTCCATAGTTTTTGAGAAGTACTTCTCTCCACTTTCTGGAAATATACCTATTCTGTAGATTCAATGTCATCAGTGTAATTGAAGACTTGGGTACTTACATCGAAATTTGGGTGCTTTATCACTTCAAAACCGAGAAGTGTCAATTATTTCAGTAGACGATAAGCATTCCTAACATAGTACAAGCTTTATTATCAGAACGGGCGTCTAGAGACAGCAGTTTTGTTCTGGTGTGGAAAAAGATTATTTTTACAGCAGAGGTTTCAGATTCTATTTATCGAAATTTCACATAGTAGCAGTTTAATTGATGTACGAATTTAAAATTGCTTTGATATACAGCAAGATTGAAATTTTTGGACTCATCCTTGTTGAAGATATTTCAAATTTGCTCTCAATTTTCACTTGATACTCCTTTATTATATATCTCATTTTAGAGAAGGTTTCAGGAAAAGTAAAAAATGAGATTATTATATCCTGAGTGGGAAAATTTTCATGGAATACCTACCTCTAGCTTGTGTAAGACACGTCCATTTTGGACCTTCAATGAAAAAAAGTTGACATTGAAAAAATTACTTGTTAACACCTCCACAACCAAAATCAATAAAAAACGCATCACCAGTCATTTGTTTGGAACCCGATACATCGAACGATGAAAATTCTATGTACGAGTGAGTAATATCTGGTGAAATTACGAGATAAATCGATCAATTTCATTTAGTTTACATTAATCGCTTCGATTGATGAATTGCCAGTTAATTGCAATTCGAGTCTATGTTAACTACCACGATTTCAAATGATTGCAGTAATAAAAGGAAAATAATTTTCATCGACTACCATTTACGCCAAAATGGGATTTGAATAAAACAACGGGTGTATCAAAATAAGTTAGAAATAAGAAAACATGTGTAGGAATCCTGTGAATGATATCTGATTCGATTTCATTTTTTATATATTCGCCTGTAAGAGAAACCGATTTTACTCTGTTGATCTGAGATAGATCTCAAGGACATGAAATTGAGGTACTTCTTTTTTAGCGATTGATTACAAAAATTCGCTTCACCACCTTCTTCAGAATTAGTTTGCTAAGAGACAGGGGATTGTAAAAATCCAGTCACATAATTTCTGCCGAAATTTGGTATCCGAAAAATCATATTTTATACATTTCTTCAAACGAGCCAATATTATTTTGAGACTGGTAGGTTTTTTTATGATCGCCTTATTGAAAATACGTGTTATTTCTGAAAAGAAATAAAACACAGTTCATATCCACCACAAATACCTCTGAAAATCCAGCCGGAGATGTAAAGAATTTCCCTGTTCACTGCATGCGGTTGTGTAATCAATATTTTTATTTGCACAGTTTTTGTTTGTTATATCGATCACGATTCAATCACGCAGGAAACAAGAATGAAATTTCAGAAGGCCAATAATTGTCTTCGCGTGATTTGTTTGAAAAGTCGACCCTGCGATATAATTTTATTGATGAATTGTGATTGATTATGCGGTTGATTAAAATTATCAGAATAGAAAAATGAATATGTGGAAATGAAATTTTGGAACATTCAACGTACCTACACAGTAGCCTCTGGTGAATGTCTGCCGGAAAACAACTACTTTCCCGGCTGATAGCACGCTAGACATTGAACCATATCCGACAGACTGCAGATGCAGGTCTACTTCAAAAAGATAAATGTCCCTGAACTGAATATAATAATGTCAGGACAGACAATTTCGCTTTCTTCTCCGATAAGTTTGTGGGTAGTTAAAATAGACACCAATATGTCTTGGCACAATCAGGTCGCTGGAATTACGAAGGCTGCTTCTTAAAAGCTTGGAACACTGTTCCGAACCAGGAAACTGTAGACATCTCAGCAACTTTTGATGCTTTATAAAGCTCAGATCAGACTTTTCCGGAGTATTGTTCACATGTATGGAGCTCCGCTTCTAAACATACCCTGAAGCTGCTGGATGTCACCCATCGGACATTTATGCCAGATACACCAACGAGGTTGGTCTTACAGACATTTCTCGTTCATCTAGCAGTAGAACCATACCGAAATCAATCTAGTGGATCACTTACAGGCCAGTTTCTAGGTGTCACCTCTTGTCAGTGAAGGAAACATTCCGCATGAACAGCGGTGTGCTTGGCAATCGATGTAGACACCTAAATACTAGGTATGTTCCCAGTTGACTAATATGTGTGTGTCTTGTAATTTGAACCAAATGTTTGTACTGAATTTCTTAACGATCTTGATATTCTTGATGATCTCGATATAATTTCTTCAACCTTATGATTACCGTCCATGTCTCAAATTCCATCATGTAATGTAATTTGTTTTAATGAGTATGTTGATTTGTCTTCGTATTCTTTATTTCTTAATTCACGACCATCATTGATTGTGGAACCTTAAGATGTATATAAACCTTGTGTTTCTCAAGACGAATAAAATTTTTGAAAAAATGTTGCAGAATGAAATGTTCGTCTGGATTCCATATTCAAAAAAATCTACATCCTCGAACATATGGAAAATGTATTATCGTCAACTTGTACCCGTAATGAACCTAATGTATGCATTCTGTATCTTTTGAATTATAAAACTGACACTCTTCAAAACTCCCGAACCATACACCACGTCTGCGTAGTTGGCATGTTTAAAATATGTTTTTCCGTTAACCAGCTGTCACACCCCTACAAACGACAACCCAAAGAAGTCGAAACTTGTACAAACTAAGGACTAACGATGTCTTAACTTTTAACGTGTGATTCCTAACCTGACCTAACTAGCATCGCATAGTATAATTTTTCTTTTGGAATATATCAATTCCAAATTGGCATAACCCCCTTTCAGAATTTGTGAAATATGTATTTCAAAACGAAGACTGTTGTCAAGATATAGGCCCAAGTTTTTTGTAATTCCTCTCAATGGAAGTTCTGTTCCATCTGTTACAATATTTATGTTCTACCAAAGAGCACGCCATTAGATTTAGATGCATTAACAGATAGGCAATATTTTGTTAACAAGATTAATAACATATTAAGATGGGTATTAATTTGCCATAGGGCCTTGAATTCTCGGCGAATTCTATGTACAGCTGAGTATCGTTGGCATAACAATGCATGGTTGCAAATTGCAGTGACCTATGGAATTGAGATGTGGAGAAAACGAACAAGGGAGGGCTCAATATTGAACCTTGAGGAACACTGTCTTTTATTTGTATTTAATGAGATTTTTCGTTACTATACACAAATCTTTGAAAACGATTACAAAAGTAAATTTTTGGTAGTGCTACAACATGTATTGAAAATGATTGGGATTTATAATGGGTGTATCAGAAGTTATGGTGAAAATGGATTTATTATACACCAAAAATATCTCCCACTCTATCTGGTGGTGTGAATGACATTTTCAGGCGAATATTACTGGGAACAGTGTATTGTTATCATTTCCTTTTCATAATTTGACCAATTAGCGCTTTTCCGTACCGGAATAACCATAACTCAGTATCATTCTCTTCTCAATTTAACGAATAAAACACCCAAAATAGTCCACACTATGAACTTTCAGAAAATATAGGTTTCAAACACTTCATACCAATCGAAAATATATTTTATCCTTGACGAAAGTATGTAAAAATCGTTAATTTGATGCTGAAAAAGAATTAAGGCAAAATAATTGTGAAAAGCCGCATTTCACAGATGTTCGAACAATCTTCCGTTTCGAGATTTGCATACATCAACTGTATCAACAACTTCTTTTCGAACTTCAATTGATGTTCATTTTGTAGTGGAGCAAATAACCCCATTGATGATATTTTGCTTGGTTGAAACTCATCCCTCAACGTATCTCCGGATGATACAAATTTATGAAAATGTGGAATAGCAATGTCGTTTACCCAATTGAAGATTCAGAAAACTTCACATTATCGCAGATTTTCATTCTATCACTTCCATGATCTGTTTACTCCTTGAGCTTCACCCTTTCTTTTCCTGAAACCTCCCTTTCAAAAAAAACAGTTTGAAAACTTTCACCAGGTATAGTTAGTACTATAATCTAGTAAATAATGATTACACTCTTGAGTCTTGTGTTTCATCGACGAACGGATGTTGGTCGATCGTTAACCAAACCAGTTCAATCAAATTCATCCACTACATTTCAAATAGGCATTTCAGTAGAATGAGATGCCATTTTGGTAAAGCTATTCCATTATTTATACGTGTTGTATGCCTTATCCATCTATGGTGATTTGCTATACAGACTAAATGAATGACAACTAATCAAACAGATCTGGCTTCAACAAGATGGCCGTTATCAATTGACAAAGATTTGAAGTCTCAGTTGGAACACCCTTCATTTCCATTCTTAATAGACATGACTGCCACTAATACTATACAGACAAAATTGTAGATCATGTCATAGAACTATATCCCTTCAGAATTTCCAAAGCTAATGGTTTCTTGAAAGGAGTAACACATGTAGTGATGGATCTATCGAAGAGTCTATAACTCACGTGGCAGTACTCACCTGCGTATGGCTATAATACATAGCAAAGTTCGAAACAATAACGGGCACTGGCAACGCTATCGTCAGCACACCAGCTAGAGCACATAGCGCACCAACAAACATTCCTATATAGGTCTTTGGTACCATGTCCCCATACCCCACAGTGGTCATCGTCACCAGCGCCCACCACAGTCCCAAAGGAATACTCTTGAAGTCATTGTCTGGATTCGTTTGGATTCTCTCAGCGTAGTAAACCAAACTCGCGAAAATCACTATACCTAGAACTAGGAAAAACACTAGGAGAGTCAGCTCCTTGGCTGACGCTCTGAAAGTCTGTATCAGGATCTTCAACCCGGAAGAATGCCTTGTCAGCTTGAAGAGTCTCATGATGCGGATGATGGAGAAGAACTCCATGATATCCGCATTGTCAAGGTGGGAAGCGAATCTCCTGAGCATAAGGTCGATGTAGAAGCTAGCTGTGGCGATGTAGTCGATGATGTTGACGGAGGAGTTGATGAACTCGCACTTACTGGGGCTGGATATGAACCTTATGAGGATTTCGAAGGTGAACCAGGCGTTGCAGATGCACTCAATGTAGAAGAAGACTATGTGGGCGTCGGTGTCGATTTTGTCGACGTAATAGTCTGTTCCGTTGGCGGACGTGCGTAATTCGATCACTCTCAATGAGGGAACCTTCATATCTGGGTGAGTTTTGAGGCAGAATGAGAGTATTGAGACGCATATGAAGAATACCGATACCACTCCTATCACCTGAAAAACAGATAAATACTGAAATGATATTCAACATGTTTCCTTGGTGTGGAAGATGGGAATGGGAAATGAATCAATCAGTTGTCTTCAGAGGACTGACAGAAACAGTAGGAACACGAAAAGGTCCCTATAAAAGTACCAATCAAGGATAACATACTACACTTACTTTTGCTGCTGTTGATGAGTATGGCTCATCGAATAATGACCAAATTTTGGGTTTCATCAGTTGCCACCACGACAATGTTCCGTTGTAATAATCTTCTTCGAATCCAAACTTCCTAGCTATCTCTTCGTCACTTGGTTTATCTGTATCTAGGTCTAACCTATCTAAAACTGCTAAAGTCTCTTGTGTATCTCGATGCTGGAAATAAATATTGAATATCTTGAACAGAACAATTGAAACATCGAAATCAACAATGGTTATATGCTTTTATACATAATTTCAAGAATATAATGAGTGATTTTCTTGCTGGTATCTTTTTGGCAACACTGTTTTTGACAGATCACGCGTGAATCGTGTCTTGTGTCATTATGAAACTTGTTCAGTTTGGTCTATAATTAAACCATGAATCGACTTACGAATGAACAACGCTTGCAAATTATTGAATTTCATTATCAAAAGTCATGCTCGGTGAAGAAAGTGCATCGTGCACTTCTTCCAATTCATAGGCAGTTTCGTCGGCCTACTGAGGGAGCTATTCGGAAGCTTGTGACTGAATTTCGAACTCAGTTTACATTTTTCACTAGTTCGGACTTCCATTGTCTACTATATAAAATGATTTGAAATCCCTGAAACAATTAAAAAAGAAGAATAATTAAAACAGTCATCACCCGAAGACGATTGTAGATACCAACAATCGAAACGTCGTGAACTAACGTGACTTGGAATCTCCACACTTTTTATTTTTTGTTATTTATAGACAATGGAAGTCCGAACTAGTGAAATTCATCACGAAACATTGTCAATCACCTTCAAACCAGTTTACATTATTGGACATGGAACCACCAACACGCATACGTAGAGTGAGTGAGTATCCGTCAGTGTTCGTGATGACCGTGAAATGTCGATTCGCCGCTGTTTGCAGCGATTGGACCTCTGTTACTCCACTACGTGGGAAATTTTGCGAAAGGAATTGGGTGTAAAACCTCATAGGATACATCTGGTCAAGAATTGAAGCCACACGACTTCCCACAACATCTTAAATTTGTTGAATGCACGCTGGCAAAGTTAGAGGAAGATCCACATTTTCATCGAAAAATTGTGTTCAACGTCGATCTGAGCGAAGCCTTTTTGTGGGTCAAAATATTCAACCTAGGATCACTTGTCAAGAGTCTCAAGAATTAATTGAAAACTGCAAAACGGCACAACGTCAGAATCTGCTCCAGATCTAGTAACACCATCCGTGGCAACCTCTTGAAAACCAGGCCACCAAACGCGGACTGTGATTTACCGCAATGTGAATTTTCAATGGCCGAGCACAAGAAAAACACACAGCGAAGAGAAAACAGCAAATCGAGAATAGCAGAGCATGTTTGGAGACCACATCAAGTGGTCTCGACCTGAGATCATCCACAGGGAGAAATATTGGTTCAAAAGGAAGTTCAAAGACGCTGCATATATGTTGTCCAACGACTCCTCCAACCAAGCTAGCGCAAAGATAGGCAGCATATAGAAACCCATAATCAAGCGGAAAACAGTCAACTCCGGCCAAACGGTCAGTTCCCGCCAAACCTATGAAGTGTAGTAAGGGAAGAGGGATAGGTGAAAGCACTTGAATGACCTGTAAATAGTCATATCTCGGAAGAATGAGGCCAGTCATCATCCGAAGACGATTGTGGATTCTAACAATTGAAGCGTCTTGAAGTAACTTGGTTTTAACTCTTTTTTTAATTTCATTTTTTCATTGATAATTTATCAATTTTTATATATGTAATTTTGAGTTTTTTGCTCATTTGAATTTTTTTTCTAATCACTATGTGGTCATTGTCCTCATTTATCTTGATTAAATCATTTTATTTATTTCATTTTATTTCCAAATCACATTTTATTGCTTATAAAAAATTTATATTTTAGTTATATCTGTTCTTTCATAGATTTTAAATCATATGAAAATCATATTTCTCCTCTCATTGTCATTCACTTTTTCTCAGGTCTAGAATATTGAAAATATTGTTCGAAGTTTATTTGGTAACACAATAAGTAGAAAATACCCATGCACAACCTTAGGGTTTTATTGGATTCTCTTAATGTTTATCAACCATTATCTTGGACAAACAAGTGATTGATTCATTTTTTCTTGTAATCTATTTGAATTTACATACGATGTATGCAGTCTGGGTTCCGCAAAAAAACGCGGAACACAGACTGCCCTCTTGAAAGTAATCGATGATCTTGCGAGATTCAGAGATCAATCAAAAGTCGCCATTTCAAAACTGATTGATCAAAGTGAAGCTTTCGATTTGGTTAATTTTGATTTACTCATCAGCAAGCTCAAATTCTTTGGGTTCGATGATATTTCTCTTAAATGGAAGACCAGCTATCTCACAGGCCGATCACAGAGGGTCAAACTGGATGATTCATGGTCATCACTAAAAGAAACAATCTCAGATGTACCGCAGGGAAGTATTTTAGGACCCTTGATGTTTTCAGTGTTTATTTTTTATCACCCCACTTTCTTATCACATTGNTGATATTTAGTATGTTATAAAAATATCCCTAGACTTTTCCGATGTGTGTACATATGGTCGATTTGAGAATTAACATATTCAACATACCTAGGTACCATACTTCCAAATTTTAAGGATGTTCTTACATAACCCCCTCTTATCTGAATGAAATTTAACCCCTTTCAAATTATAATATTTATCAATTTAAGAAAGAAATAAAATCACAGATGCTCACTGCTCAGTGCTAGTTTGAAATTCAATGTATGCAATGCAATGAAATTGTTCAATTGACCAGAATAATGGTGAGAATATTAAGAGTTATTAGCAACTATATGATTTATTATTTTTCTCTTCTCTATCATTGTTATGATAGTAAATAAGTATTTTTATAATTATTGTCTTACATTAACTGTATAATTTTTGGAAGGGGAGGAAGATAGCCATTGACTTACCCAGATCCTTTTATGAATAAATGTATTATTTTTATGCATAATAAACGATATTACTATTATTTAGAAACTCCTGCTGTTGCTGGTAAAAAAACATTATTATTATTATTATGGAAATCTGAACCAGTAAACTTCGCATTTTTTCATATCTAGACAAATTCCAGCTGTTTTTCGGCTGTTGTAAAACATTTGTTTTTGTAAAATCAAATTATGAAGATGCAAAAGTGGTTCAGTTGAAGCTAATATACAACCTTTGACTACAAAACGAAGGGATCATGTATTGGCTTGCAGCCAATTATCACGTGTATTCATTTTTTTTCGATAAGAGTTATAAGCAGTTGTCGTTTGTTCCAAATACCGTCTATTCAATGACTTGGTATATTAAAATCTGCTGAAAAATATCGTGTGACTGATGACCCCTGGGAAATTGAAAGTAGGAGTAATCTACTTATGAAACATTGAAGTAAAACTCATCTCATATGTGATGTTACAAAGTATTTGTAGAATAGCACCTCTTTCAACCACTCTATATATAAATTAGACTGTGTTTCACCTGCGTATACGTTATCCAGCAGCACGGTTCCACTTGATTTGCATCTAGACCCCAGAACTCGAGCTCCTCCTCGAAAAGTGGTCCACATACATCTGAGGGGTAGTGTAATTTTCCAGTCCTGAAGAAAAATAAAGGAACTCTTAGTTGTGATAAAGAAAATTTTTTGAATTTGAGAGTTCAGTGAGCAACTCAGAAACCTTGTTAAAACACCAGATTCCAGAACATATTGAGGGAACTTTTGTTGTAATTGGGCTAGAAAGGCCGCTGTTATTTAGGCAATGTTCATATTTACAGCCATTCCTTACTCCACATAACAGATCATTCGTGGCCTCACAGTTGTGACAAAATATCGACTGACAAGAACGACTGGGTAGAGAATTTTGTTCTGAGATTCTCAGCATTCCTACGCATATCCGTTCGAACTTTGAACAGGGCAACCAAAGTTTGTCTACGAACAGAGGTTTACCATAAATTGATAGTTGAAGTGTTTTGGACCACTTCTCCAATGAATAGCCCAACCATCATTTACCAGCGTAATTATCTTACTTGCCGAAGGGAGATATTAATCTAGACCTTCCGAGACTGATTATGCTTATCCGAATAGTTTGCTATCTCAAGGAGTATTGTGGTTGTGGATTGAGGCAATGGGTTGACGAGGGCACATCATTAATCTGAGGCCTTGGGGCAGTTATGAAAAAACAGGTGTAGTTGCAGGTTTTGAACTAATTAAACACTAACTTACTTTGAAAATTCCCAAGCACGAGCTTTGACGGAAAAATGTATATGGAAGACGTTGAATGAGAGTAGGTTGAATCCAGCCAAAACATATACACAGTGAATATGTAAAAGAGAAATATATTTTATGGTGCACACACGAACAATTTTGATTGTTCATTTTTTGTGGAACGACCGGTTTTGAAACAGACAAGAAGAATGAGAAGAAAACAACTTTGAGGTTAAAGGTGTAATGCGAACACCGAGAAAATGCATTTTTGTATCGACGAGGTCGGGGACGGACAAGGACTAGGCAGTTAAGTGGGTCTTCAGTCTTCTTTTGAAGTTTTCAATTATATAGGATCGAAACTCACAGGGTATTGATTACAATGTTTGAGAACATTATACAAGAACCAGTGGGTGAAGATAGATTTGTGTTTGGGGACGACTGAAAACAAACTGTTCCGGATGGTGAAACTAATAATTGTTGAGAATCTTCTGAGCTCCTTTAGTTAGTAATCAGGTTGACAGGATATCAAAACTTATGTGTATTGGTGAGTAGGTGCAGTGTTCTAAGTTTCTCGACTTTCAACCATCCTGATTCTCTGCATGGCTGAGGATATTATACAGGATGTAACTAAAAGAGTGTGGAACATTTAAGGAGGTGATTCCTCATCAAAAAAAAAAGATAGGATCTTTCATATAAAAAAATTTCATTGGAGCATCCCTTGTTAAGATACAGCCCCTTAAAGGGCGGTACACAAGCACTAAAAATGTTACAGTATTGAAATTAACCTGACGTTTTGTACAACCAGAAAGACACTTAGCCAGAAATTTATTTGGTTTACCCCATGGTTGTAAGGGGTGGAAAACGCATTCCCTAAAATTTATTTCCNGTTATTGATAAATTAGTTTTGTTTATTACCCTTTAATCGTTTAATGCAGGTACTAACTACAAAATAACAATAAATCCAGTTCGCATTTATGACTATGTATCTCTGTAGTTGTTTCACAAGATGGATTCCCATTGAAAAAATTACTCTGATGTGAAAAAGTTTAATCATACTATTGATTATATTTCGCAATGATTTATCAGTGAAAAACTTGAAATGCAATGGTAAATAGATGGAAGAGAGAATTTTTTTCCGAAATCAACCGATGCTTCATTATCGATTTTCATATCTTGACATTCCAATATCCTATACTTAGAATCATAACACCGATTCAATTCAATCGTGATCAAATAAGTCTCTCCAGACGAAATAGAGAGTTGCAAATCAGCCGAGCAGAATAATAGCGAAAACTCTCGGTTGAATTTGGCGAACTTTATAACAACATCAGAAGAAATACAATTTGAATAATTTGTGAGAAGTGACTGATATTTGAGACCGAAATGAAGCATTGAATTCGTACAATTATTCTACGTTCGCAGTCTGGCATATTTTCATATTAATTGCGGAGGCTATTGTGAAAAGTGACGTCCTTGAAAGTTGCAAATTCCATTTTCCAGCTGGTAATATTAGGGTCTAGAGAATGGAAAATAAACACCCTAATAAATAAAACCAAGTACGTTTTGAAGCGTACCGATTATTCATTATAGAATTGCAGTAGCTTCTTCAACAGTGATTTGAATACCAGAAGTTGTTTCTTACGCTAATATTTATACACCACAGGTAACTACAACTGGGACTATCTCCATTAAATTACCTAAACCTCTACAATTCTCATATACCTGAGGTACCTCTTTAGTTGTGATTACCTGGAGCATATTACCTCACTTCTACATCAATAATAATACCTTCTCGGTTTATTTAGAAAAACAAGTTCAAATCCAGTTGGTCATTGATTAGAATGTTTGATTTTTTTGGTTTATTAAACTAGATATTAAAATTGCATATAGAACAAGTAATACGTTGGAAAAGTAAGTTAAAAATAATAAAGATGAAACAGCCAAATCCTAGAAATTGGAAGTATATAAATCAAAGTGTGGAACGTGCCCTAAGGTATATATTGGTCAAACTGGCAGAACATTTATTAATCGAATCCAGGAACATAATATGAGCTATGTAAATAAGAAAACAAGTTCAAAATATTCAAATCATCTTCTAGAAGAAAATCATATCTTTAAAGAAGAGTTCGAAATTCTGCACATAGAAAATGAAGGTTTGGAACTGAATCATTTGGAAGCAATGATTGGTCAAACTGGCAGAACATTTATTAATCGAATCCAGGAACATAATATGAGCTATGTAAATAAGAAAACAAGTTCAAAATATTCAAATCATCTTTTAGAAGAAAATCATATCTTTTAAGAAGAGTTTTAACTTTTACAAATAGAAAATAAAGGTTTGAAACTGAAGCATTTGAAAGCAATGCAAATTGATAAACTTACAAATCCAAACATTCTAATGTACCAAGAAGTAATCATAATCAAGAGGTAATCATAATTGAAGAGGTACCTATATAAAAGTTGTAGAAGTTTAGGTAACTTGATGAAGGTCATCCCTTGTTGATTTCATGAGTTTGGCCTTCAAATTGTATATTACGAGGTACGTTCGAAAAATAATGTGAATTTTCAGTCTTCTCAAAAATATTTTGGTATTTGTTAATTAATTTTTATTCCGTTCCATTTGAAGTAGTCCCCCTTCAGATATAATTCACATGTGACAGCGTTTTTCCCAAAGCAGTTCTGCTATGCACTGTTTCGTACGTTTTCGCTCTCTCTCACTCTTTTCCTCCCTCTCTCTTTCTCAGCGATTCCGTACTTATCTCCTCAATCGTCGCAATACACCTTCCTTCAATGGGTCTCTTGAATCTTGGAAATAGGAGAAAGTCGCAGGAGGGCGAATCTGGTGAATACTGTGGCTGAGGCACGACTAAGGTGTTATTTTTGGTCAAAAAATGACAAATAAGCAGGTGCATCATCATGATACAAAAGCTGTGAGTTGTGTCAGTGAACATGTAAAACTTCTTCTCAATTTTCGTCAGTGAAGTATGTCAAATAATCGAAATCAACGTCGATTTGCTCAAGAAAAAATATTATTCTGTTTTCATCACTCACCTGTAATAATTCAAAACTTGTGCGAAAACTCCCGGATGTCTGTCGAAGAAATATTCATTCAATAAGGGATCATAGTTGGCCAGTGCTTCGGTGAGCCTCGATAGTCTGGTGGCAGGAATTTTTTTCAGGGTTGCTTTGTATGTTTCATGGCGGATTCCTCCAACATTGAGAACGACGCGGTTTTCCGCGTCCATGTTGACGACATTCATTTCTGAAATCAACAAAAAAATGTTTTGGAATGGGTGTACCGTATCGTTCGAAGTTTGTAAATACCTGTACAAATCATATAGTTAGGCAAACGCGCATTTTTTTAAAGGAAAACGAACCATATTCGTACGAAAAAATAGTATGTTCCTCGAGTTTATGAATGACGGAGCTCACGGTATATTATTATTATTGTTTAATCGGTTCGTGATACATTTGAATTTAGTTATTTGTTTGTTGGGGAATGATTTCGGCAAATCTTTTGATTAGAGTTCATATTTCCTTCATGTTCCTACTTTACTTTCCTATTTTCCCTAATGGCCAACGTATTGGGTGGAAGAAAGGAAATAGCGACATTTTTTGGGGTAAGTTGTGAATTTTTTAACCTGCTCAGGTAATATTTGCAACAATGGGTTCGAGGAGTTGGTGAAATGGCGAAACCGTCACTAAAAAGTGATAATACTTCGGGAAGATCATACTGTTGAGTTTTTCGCCAAGTATGCGGTTCCTATTTCGAAACATCCACTCTTCTCACCAGATCCAGCTCTGTGTGACTTTTTTATATTCACGAAAGTGGAAATAGTATCGACAGGACAAGATTCGATACAGTGAAAGCTGTGAAGAAGAATGCGACAGTGACTATGAAGTGGCTCTCAGAAACTGACTTGAAATACTGAAAAAATTCTGATGGGAAAGTATAAAGTAAGGTGGAAGTTAGAAGAAGAAAAATAGACATTGTGAAGGAAAACATTCAGTTGTTTCTAAGGTGGAAAGTTGTAAATTTGGAAACAAGTTATACTCCATTAGATAGATAGATAGATAGATATAATTATATATGATTTGCTAACTTTTCTATTGAATTCAATTTAATTTCTGGAGACAACATTTTTGCGTGGCGTTCACCTTTGTCGCCTTGAGAATAATCCTCTTGTTGATAAATAAGTTGGAAATCTTCCACCTTCCTTAGCTACCAACTATAAATTTTGATAACTTCAAATTTTCAACTTCAATATCATATATAGTATCTGTTGTACAATTTTACTATTTGTTTCTAAATTTTAATACAGCTTTACTCAACAATTATGTGATTATCTGGTTAACCTCACTTGTGTTTAAATATAAAAATTTTTCATAAGCATCCTCTGATGTCAGTAACTAGGGAAATGGTTTACAACAATGATATTCAAACTTTTTATCATTTCTTAATATTTACAATGAGTTTATGCCGTCTTTTCCAATTTTATCCAACAGATATTATTTTCTTTTCATTTGACATTAACAAATAACCTCTGCTGGTTGTCTGTTTTATGAAAATCCATAAATTTTGGTACACAAATTTTTAATTTCTGATTTTTTCGTAGTTGTTTCCTGTCACGTCTGTGGATTTCTAGACATATACAGGGTGATCTCGCTGTACTTCTTTATCTGAATTCTTCAATGGAACGCGAAATCCAAGAGAATCCAGTCTTCCTGGATGTACTTGTCAACAGACGTACTTGTGAACAGCCACAACGAAAAAAGGGGTTCTGTAGAGTAGGAAAGGTGATTGTAGGCCCACAGCACTTAAGCCACATGTGATCCATGGTACATCCTCCCGAGTAGTTGTCATCGTAGGTCATGGTTCATCCTGTCCTTTCCAGAAAGGTAGACAGATCACTAGGAGACCTGTCTTTACTTTATATCGGCAGGTGTAGGCCAAGATCCGCCTAACACACACTCTCTCATTGAAGATAACTCCGGACACTCGCATAGGACATGCCTGATAGTTTAATCTTCCTGTTCACACATCCTGCATAGATGTGTGTCCACTAACTCCATATTATGGATGTGTTTCCGTAGTTGACAGTGGCCAGTCCTAAATCCTACTGTTAAGCGTAGGATTTTCCTGGTCATCGCCAGATATTTCTTCGGCGCCAGCTTCTCAGGGTCGCCCAAGGTGATCCTGGCAAGATTGCATCATTTGATTTCATCCCATCTCTTTAAAGATTGAGCATGGGTGTAACATTTGACTAGTTCCGCAATTGTCGAAGTCATCAGGCCGTGGGTGCCACTTGGTCCTAAAATTCTTAGTCCAGCCGCTTCCTTGGCTAAAGAGTCGGCAATGCGATTACCTTTACTCCTGTC